TCAGCAGCAGTAGGTGACTTGTGATGCGAGTGTCTCAGGTATCTCAAGGCACCACTGTGTCACTAAAACCGAGGGATGAGATCATTTGACAGGTTCATTCGGTTTGTATCATTTACGAGAAGGAGTTTCAAAACAAACGAATCGGAGGTTGACTGGCACCAAATAGAGAATGGCGTTCAAACTTTGAGATTCCACTGTATTAGCATGTCTTTTGGTGCTTGGGCATAATTGTATGTCGTCTATTTTATAGAGAACAATAAATGACTTGTGCAGACTCTTTGAACATTCACGTGGAATAACACCCCATCTTCTCTCCGGCAGAAGGCGATTTTGTGACTCAGCTGTGCTCACACCTGTGTGATACAGCAACCGAGAAGAAACGGTACTATGGTGAGCACATCTCCCTCAACACAAAAAAAAACGCACACACCTCCGCACATACAAAGACAAAATCCGAACAGCCTAATTGAAACCACTCAGTGTTACACAATGTAAAAATTCGACCAGTCCCAGTGGTAATGGCTTTGTTCCATTATTCCGACGTGTTATTTTCTTTATTGGATATATGTCTGTTCTTTTGAATGATGCGTGCCTTTGTGTGTCATCTCACAGAGAGCTGCTCACAGGAGGCTGCTCACGCTGCAGTTGGAACACTAATAGACCTCGGGGTGAGTGACAGGCTTTATATATGCTTTGTGTGTTCAGTGAATATACACGATAAAATAATTTCTATGGCATCACCTCAAGTAACTACAGCGACTCTTTCTTGCCCTTCTGGAATCGTGCGATAAAAGTGTGTAAATGAACTTTCTTTTGACTTTTGAGCATGTTTCAGGGTTGTGACGGCGACCTAATCTGAATGAATAAAACAAACGTTGTCGAGGCCAGATAAATGCTTGATGATCGCAGTTTGAGATTCAGCGCAAGACGTAGGGCCACGAGAGGCCACGACACAATCTCGTCTTGTCTGAGCCGCCGAGGTTCGTCGTCTTTCAGAGAGGAGTAGACACAATCTCGTCTTGTCTGAGCCGCCGAGGTTCGAGGACAAAGAGAAAGGGCTTCATTTCAACATCTCCAATCTACAAAGAGCCGAAGTGAAATCTATTCTCCTGATGCAGGAGCACTCAGGTAGTGCATATTGCGCACATCAAAAAAAACTCCACAATCTCCCGCAAACACGATTGACAAGTCAGTCCTTCAGCCTGCGCAGGCATCGGTCTGCTCCCACTTTGCGAGATGGCAATCACTGCCTTTAAAAATAGACCATCGTTGACCTATATATCTGCAACGACTCCAAGAAGCAATTAATAGCTGATCAGGATCAGCAGTCAGAAACTGTTGCCGTCTTGTGATTTTTAAAATGGACTCTACTGTTTAAAGAGGACGTTATGGAGAAATAACATTTAAATCCACTCTGTAAGTGTAATTCGGAAGCTTGGTGAAAACACAACAGAACAACTCTCTTGATGGGGGACGGCGTGTATATGGGCCATTCCCCCGAATCTGGGCCATTTATTTGCATCTCTGGGAAATAGAGATACAGATGCATGATAAAATTAACTGTTAAGTAACTTGTTTTTTTTTCTTTGCTTGAACACTGATCTGAATGCATATTGAAAAAATGCAATTTAAAAGATCACACTACTTGAAACATCAATAAGTAGCATTTGTCGCCTGTCTCTGCTTCTGAATATTAGGCTTTCCCATGAAACGTAATAATTTAAATTCATTACAAATATTTTGTACATATTTGTATTATTCTTTTTCCCAACTATAGCACTGTACTGTCTTCCAAAGAAAGAAAAAAGATTAGTTTAATATACACAGCTGTCATCTCGCTGGGTTTTCACTCAGTCTTGTTGTTACACACCCCTCTTCCTGAAAAAAATGTAATATTACACATGTCACATGGTCCAGAGGAATGTGCATCATGTAGACTCTCTCCAGGCTACAGAAAGGCCAAATGTCAGTTCACTCTATAATCCCCCCCCACCCCAATCTTAACCCATATACAATGTTGACTCTGTCACGTGAGGAGCGGAATTTAGACCCAGAAGCAGACAGTCACTTACTGTGTGACCAAAGAAAAGACCAAGGCAACAAACAACATTAAGGGAACAAAGAGCAAAACTCTCTCACAGTCACACCAGACTCTGTATTTGTGCAATACAGAGATGGAGCCTCTACAAAAATGCCTATCGTACAATATAATCCCATCACTTTAGATTTGCCCTGCCACTACTGAGGAAACTCTGTAATTTCTTTTCTTTTACTTCGTAATACTTTTTGCTGGATCAATGGGAGGCATCCTTACATATTGCTTGAAGCTCCACGTATTAATTTAAATGATTTGCACTTTGCGGCATTCCTTTAAAAGTGGCTGAACTAACAGATATTTTGTATGGTACGCGTTTGATAATGCCAGAAAACTTCCACTTCTGACTTCCGCTTTTGTAGTTTGAGACTGTGAAAATTGTTAGGCGTCAGCCCGGCTAGGCAAAACGGAGTAGCCACTGGCTTTGTTGCAACGCCATAGCTCTGATAATGAACGCTGTAAAGGCATTTGCATGAGACAGGACCGTCCTCCGCTACTCCGTGATTTTCAGTGCGACAAGTGGAGATTGGTTGTCCTTTGATTTAAATTATTAAAATATCTATTAATTAAAATGTCAGAGATCCTGCGATTGGCTGGCAGGCAGTTCGGGGTGTACCTTGCTTAGTACCTTGAAGCCAGCTGGGATAGGCTCCAGCACTCGCCGCAACCCTTGTGAGGATCAGCGGATCAGAAAATGAATGGATGGATGTCAGAGACCTTTTACTTAGACACGTGGGAACTCTTAAACTGCGGAAAATATGTATAACACATCTCCTTCAAGGAATGCTTTTATCGCTAAGTTCTGCATGTCAAATATGTGAAATTATCTTGACAATCGTCTCTAGGGGATATTATAGATGGATATTCATGTGTTGCGACCATGTGAATGGCACAAGGCTTCTTCTTTTCTAGAGAGATCACAGCCTGAAGAGTGATATTTGAATAAAATATTAGATGTCAAAAAATTGAGTGCAGGCGTCAGAAGAACGGCGGGCTTCAGGCATATCAACAGCAGGAGGAGATGGAGGAGCTCAGAGACGTTAGCTGGGGCAAGGCCATTCATTTAAAAATTTGAAAACAAATCGAAGTACCTTCAAATAAACTCTAAAATGTACAAGAAGCCAGTGAAGGAAAGCCAGAATCGGGGTTATGTGTTCTCTTTTACGGGCTCCAGTTACGTGACGAGCAGCATTATTTTGGACCAACTGGAGACGCCTGAAGAGAGGACTGGATGACTCTTAAAAAAAAAACAAAACAAAAAAAAACAGTGCATTTCCGTAATCTTGCCGAGATCTAACGATGGATTACAGTTTCTGTGCTGCTGAGAAAGGAAGGACTTCACCTTTGCCAGCAGTCTAAGATGAAAGAAACTGGATATAACAACAACACTGATTTGCCAGTCCACTTTAGAATCACTGTTTTAATTTAAAACCCAAGTTTTGAGATTTTAGAAATTCAGGGACATCTGCGTTTTGATTTCCTCTAGACAGGACAAAAGGCGGTTTTAAGGAGAATCCATCCTTACTACTGAAATGCCATGCTTTTGTTGAACAAACTTTCCGGTACATATAAATTACACAGCGATTGGCTGGCAACCAGTTCAGGGTGTCCCCCGCCTACTGCACAAAGACAGCTGGGATAGGCTCCAGCACGCCTGTGACCCCTTTGTGAGAATAAGCGGATTAGAAAATGGATGGATATAATTACACAGACGAAATTGTCCACGTTGGAATGGGACTGTGTGTCTTCGCTGATCGTAGCACGTGGGTGGGGGGGGTGGGGGTCTACAAACTCCACACAGCAAGGTTGGAGGCCCTAGATTTGAACTCAGAACGAAGGCAGACATGCTAACCACTAGTCCACCCGCGGCCTGCAGGAATGCGTCTTGAGCCCATTTAGATCCTGCTGTGTGAATAAAATTCACGTTAAAACGATTTATCTTCTAAAGTATGCTCACCACGTTTGTGCCCCCACCAGGTCCTCATGGAGGAGCGGCGGCAAGGAGAAGTCTTCCTGGGGGTCACGCCTTTGTTCCAGTCGGCAGAAAACAGGCAGAAACTGCAGCGCTTCATCTCTCGCTTCCTCCACAATTAATATGTTAAAGCGCGCCGTTCAGAGCTTACTGTGTTTTTGAACGCAGCCTAAGATGGTTGGAGTCAAAAGACTGTTTCGTTCTAGAGAGGCTTCACGCTGAGTTGACAAGGCCTTTGGGGTTAATTGCATTGAGATTTCTCAGTTATGAGACATTGATTTAAAGTTTTGCCTTGGTAATAGCATTAGCATAAAGCTGCAGGAGACGAGGATGATGAGGTTGCTGTAATCAGCTGTGTGGATCGGCCGTTGCGCGATGATGCAGCGTGCTTTCCCCCAACCCCGTGTTTACACTGTAACCTGGGGGCTTTTGTTTGGAACCTGAACACATTTCAGCTCTTGTTTTTCTTTTCCTACAAAGTTACCAAGTTCCATTATTTCACACCCATGCTAATGAGGCCCAGTTCTATTCATCTCACCGTTATTAAACTGCTCTAATTGGAGGGGGTTTTTTTTTTGGTTTTGTTTATAATGTCTACTGATATTATATTAGTGGTTATTATTTTCCCAGGCCATTATTAATTCAAAATGGGTGCCCTTGTCATGAGTTGTACCTCATGAGTCTGAGGAATCTGCCTCTGGCAGCATCAACAATTTGTAAAGCTACAATTCAAAAGGTGCAGTTCCTCCACGAAACTATACTGCCCTCCAGTGTTGCTCTGCATGTACTATTCCATCTGGACTTGTACCTGTGGCTATGGTGGTTGTTCAAGTATTCTCACGCGTTAATGAACAAATAATTCAGCCACTTCAGGGGGAAAAAAAGGCTCTATTATGGCCTGCAAACATACATAATCAACATCTTGACCACAGATTCAATTTAGCCATAATGCATAATTTTTTGTTTTCTGCAGACAATGACGTGTTAAATGAGGCAAGTGGATAATAGGAGTGCTGTGATTCTTCATTCTCTGTGTATTGGCCAAAACAATGTCAACTCACAAATTGTGGGGAAAAAAAGCAAGTGCTCTTGAGTTGAAATTATATGTGAAACAAGCAGTTAATAGTGATGATTTTGCCAGTCTCCGAGTTCATATCACTTTGTTGATGATCGACCCCAATTGGTCTATTTGGCACTCCACAACATCTCCTCTCTGAAAGACAGAACCGATTTATTAGAACAGCACTTCAGACGCCCCCACCTCACACCCCCTCCATCTTTTAACTGTTCGACAAAGAAATCACCTTGAGAAAGACGGGCGGTTTTCTGAACACACCCACACCAGGAGGGGTGCCTGTCAGGAACACGTCTCCAGGAGTTAATGTCACAAACCTGAAAAAAGAGAACAAAGCCAAGTTAAGGTACATTTCGAGACTTAGTTATGATACTACAAATTTTTCACGAGCTACCGGTAGTTTTCGGTTTTTGGTATATACAGTACAGTGTTTTTTAGAAGACAGAACGGCAGTCTCACTTTGAAACCCAGGAGATCAGCGCCTCGGTCTTGAAGATCATCTGATCAGTGTTGCTGCTCTGGACCTTTTCTCCATTGACCAGACAACGAATTCCCAACTTGTGAGGATCTGGAGATTATAATTTTTCAAATTTGTATTGCTGTAACTGTATTACCAAAAACAGCAACAAAAAATGTTTGTAATACAAATTTATGTATCCTGTGTTTTGCAGTACAAGATTTGCAAGGGAAGAAATTTGGAGGTGGTTACTTCCAGTTTTTAGTGTATCTCTGCCAGTAAGGTGGATTTTACATTTACGTATCCAGTGAATGAGAGGAAGAGGTATGGGGTAAGGGGAGTAGGGGCGGAGGTACAGAAAGCAGCAGTATAGAGGTGAGTAATCAATGAAATATACATTATAATATATATTACATCACGATATATTGCATAATATATGATCATTAATATATAATTCCATGTATTTACAACATACATTGTGGTAGATACAGTATTGGGAAAATAATATATTAAGTGTCTTGCAATATATTTTTCTTTTGTAAGGGAAAACTGAGCATTGTCATCTTTTGCCATGGCAGATTTTTGTTGTTTTTGTTTTTCAATCGAGCTCTTACATTTGATCTGTAGGCGTACTTAGTGTGGCCAGTGAGTGTGCATTTGATCTTAAATACATGCCATCAGGTGGGTAGGGTGTGACGTGAGTAAACAAGACGAAGGCTGCTAATGCGCACAGTCACCTCTCACGGCATCTGTGGTCACTAATGCGGGGCCGAGGGGACAAAAGCTTTCAAACGTCTTTCCCAGCAGCCACTGCTTTCCGTTCCGCTTCATCTGCCAATCACGCGCACTGACGTCATTGGCCACCATGAAGCCGGCCACATAAGAGAGAGCATCTTCCTCCTGAACAGCAAGACACATTGTGGCAGCTGGCAGGAGCTTTAGCCGTCGCGCCATAACGATGCGGTGACACTCACCTTGATGTGCTTTCCTTGACGTCCAATCACAAAAGCCAGCTCCACTTCCCAGTCCACCTCCTTTACGCGGAATGATAAAGCAGAGGAAGCGTGTTTTTCAGATGATTTTTGCACACTTATCCTAACAAGTATCATAGCCTACACTGGTCAATATCGCACTCCTTTGCTTTGTCATCCCAATCCAGTCCAAAAATATGTGCTTGCGTCTGGTTGTTGTCATGTCCATATAATGCTTGAAGGTAAGAAAACCTTTATTTGTCTCACAATAGAGCAATTCCCAATTTACAGCAGCAAAATTATGAAAGGGAGAAAGTAAAAGACAAAGTATATAAATTCGAAAATATAGAATTGAATGTCTCTGTCTTTAATTCGCAACCATTCTGCCTTAGTGCATCAGTGCGTCATAAGAGATCATTTTGTGTGCCGCAGGACATTTTCCAATTTCACTCGATGGATCAGAAGTGTTCATTTACTACAAAATGATGCATTTTGGGTTTATCGGTAAGGGGAAGAACAAATACATGCCCTTCCCACTGCATGGCACTTGTGAGTAAATTGAGACATTGATTATTTCAATGTGCTATTTGCATTATTTTGTGACATTTTTGTTTCACGTGGTGTGGTACTGTGAGATTTTATATGTACCCTGGTTGAAGAAAGGTTGGCTCCTTCTGGTGTGCTCTGCCTGTCTTGGCCACTGGGGGCAGTAAAATAGACAGCCACACGAAAAATAAAGTGCCCTTTCTAAAACCGCCTCGATGCTAATCGTTAGCATGTGAAAGGTGTTTTCCGTTGTATGTAAGCATTAAGAAAATGTTCAGTTTTCTTTTTTTTGTTGTTGTTGTTTTAACACTCATGGCTCTTACACCTTTGGAAAAGAGTTTGGGAAGATGTCATCTACTTCAGTGAAGTAAAACTTGTCTGTCTGTTGGGTCAGCCCGAGTGGAGACTTTGACTGTACCATTTTAATCAAATGATTGTATAGTAAGTAAAGTGACACTTCTAATCATATTAAATAAGCAATTTTACAATTTCAGACTCTAGGAACTCACTTGGCTCTCAGAAGGCAGTATAATGTCATCATATGGCCCTGTGATAGCGTTGGGGAACTTGCTGAAGATGATGGGCTCTTTGGGGATGGGAGCATTTTGTTCCAGGCAGTGGTCTCGGTAGTTCAGACCCACGCACACCACCTTCTCCGGGGCTAAAATGGGAGACAGCAGCCTGACATCAGAATGCTTCAGCACACACTGGCCAGATGACACCGCTCTGAGGTGAAGATGAAGAAGTTGTTGAAGTAACAGCAATATTTTTTACAGAAGTCCATGCCTAGGTACATGTTTGTGATACCTCCGCGCACAATTGAGACCTTCATCTCCCAGCTCCAGAAGCTCTTTCATTGTGGAAGGCATGGAGGGGTCAAACACCCTCAGGTCCACCACGCCAAGCCCTTCATCCTGCTCCACTCCCACTCGCACACCTCCATCACTGTGTCGATGGAACTGCACCAGACGCATCGGTGCGTCACATAAGCCCCGTCGCTGCAAGGTCACCAAGTGTCTTGCAGAGAACAAACTGAGGATGCGCAAGGAGCCAGGAGGAACTCTCATCTGTTCCATAGAATTTCAATTAGGTTTCTGGTAATTAATAGTGGTCAGTTTGTTTTTCTCAGCAGTGTGTTACAATTCAAGAACACTACAAACTATCCATCCATAATCATTTGAAAAACTCATCCATGCATTTTCAAATTTTCTTCATTATGATCCCAGGTGAACTACAGCTTATCCCATCTGACATGGGGCAAGAGGCGGGGTGTACCCTTGACTGGTGGCCAGCCAATAACGGGCACAAATTGACAAGCATTCACTAATATTCACACTTTAGTTTTCAGTGAGCTGAACATGCAACATTTGCATGCAGACCCACCAACCACGACTAGTCAAAAGTGCGTCCTACAATAATAATTTGAGTCCACTCGGGTAGTGTGCCAGTCGAAATGGAACGTTCTTTGTACATATTTATTCCTATCAGAATTTTACAACTCCCTCCTACATAGTCCACCCATCCACTTTCAACAGCGCTTATCCTAAACAAGGTTGCGGGAGGGTGCTGGAGCTTATCCCACCTGACTTCGGGCGAAATAAGCTGCAATAGTAGCTATGTTGCCTACCTGAAGCTTGAGCAGTGTCCGATCTACCCTCACTTCCTTTCAGAAATTGAACATACAAGAGGGTCATTCAAGCATTTAGTGCCCTTTGCACAGCCTCTGGTTAATACTCATTTCTGCTCGCGTGCCCGAAGCTCAACTTTCGCAACTTCCGCTTAGCTTCTGTGGCTTTTATTTCCATTCATTCGTGTAGCTCCAACGACTGATACATAAAAAATTATAAATAACATAAATAGTCACGGCAACAATCACCTGTATCCGAAAAAAAAATATAAAAAAAAAACAAAACAATTTTATGCTTCGTTTGATTAAAAACTACACTTCCCATCAGGCAAACGAAAGTTGAGTGTCATTCAATGTTAATGGGATTTTTCTTATTAAACATTAAAACTGAGCTATTTTATTGTCAAAATAATTTTATGACGTACAATTGGTTTTATTTATTCCACATTATAGTTCAATCGTGACATGACTAAGGTATTTCTAATATAAGCGCAACGTATAAACGGTAAAACTGGGAAATTCCGACAATTTGAATACACTATACAACATTAGTGATGGGAATTCCGGCTCCTTTAGGGAGCCGGTTCTTTTGGCTCGGCTCCCTAAAAAGAGCCGGCTCTTTCGGCTCCCAAATGGCTCCTCAGTTTTTTTGTTGCTTAAATTAATTTACTCCCATAAATAATGAAAAATTATGTGTAAAATGAATTACGAATGTAAAAAATACACAGTATATCAAATATTTATTGTTTAAATGGCTTTATATTCTTCTGAACATACTCAACATGGCGTACAACATGGAGTGCTACAAAAAAATAAATTACAAAGTACAAAAACAAAGACCCATCTCAAAACAAGGTCAACAAAAAGTTCCAATCTCTGATTGTGCATATTTATAAGTGTTTAAATATTTACAGTAAAACAACATAAGTAAGCTTTGATTACCACACAACAAATTATAAATTAAAATTTGATATTGGACATTTTAACCTTGCACAGTCTACACGCTGCCTTTGAACTATCAATTCAGTTGAAATCGGTCCAAATTTCACTGCGTTGCCTATCCATTTT